CTTGAACCTTCTTTCACCCATATTTATAATGCTTTTCAAATGACACCATTGGTTGCTGATTAATAGTTCCAAATTCTTGATGAAGCTGTGTCTGTATCTGGAGAATGGCAGAGATGGATTAGAGCAGGGATGTCAAACTTGTGTCATCATGTCATCGTCACATGATGTATCATGACTCCCCCCCCCCTTTGCTAAACCAGGCATGGGCATGGCCAGTGCATGACGCATCCGGCCCATGGGCCACGAGTTTGACACCCCTGGATTAGAGGAACACCTTTAACATATTTCCTCTTTATTTCAACATATTACCTCAACACCAAAATCATATTATTATGAATTGGAATTCCTCATTATTCCAGTTCTTTACATTATAGTTTATTCAACAAACTCATGCATTCAAGAAGTCCAAACATAAATCAATTCAATTTATTAAACTAACATTTGAGACTAATGGCATGTGGGTAAATAATAAAGACATGGCAATTGAAGAGGAACATGGCACAAAGTACTTTTAAAGCTACCATATGCAACAATCTAATAAATAGCAGATAATCCTATCAGAATTTAGTACCTTTAGTCAATTGGTTGAGAGAAAAGCAGGCCAGAAAATAGCGCATTAAACTCAGTATGAAAAATACCTGCTGTTCAGAGTGTGGCAGGGAAAATAGAGGAGGCGATCCACTTGCATAGTGTTCAGCTACCGGATAAAGTAGAAAGAGAAATTTTTAAAAAAATAGCAAAGAGAACCAGAATCTCAGAAGCTTCTTACCACTGCAAGGAGGAAGAGAAGATTAAACTGTCATATTTCCTTTTTCGTGCCCACGTGGGCCAAGTGAGAACCGATTTCGCACAAGCACTACTTCACTTGGGAATGGAGAATAAAATAGAGATAACATTTCTGAATTGAGGTGGGAAGAAAATCACTTTTTACTTAGCAGTTTATGTAGAACTTGTTAGGAATATAAGTCACCTAACAGGTATTTGGGTTAGAAATATATAGACCAGGATAAACGTTTTAGTACTATATCTTTAAGGGAATGCAAGAGCATGCAATTGGGTGTGGTTACTCAAACGGCTGTAAGATGGAGCCAGAAACCTGGGTTGTTTAGTCTTAATCTCAGAAGAGAATGTAAGTGTATCTCTGTTTCCTTCTGTTGGAAAGTATTGCCGTTGCTCCATTTCTTCTAATTGACTGATATTACTGGATTTAATGTAAGTCTGATACT